TTTATCAAGAATGAGGGTGCAGTTGAATGAATCATTAGCAAGTTTGCTGATGAAATCAAATTGGGAGCTGCTGTTGACTCTCCTGAGGGATGAGAGGCCTTGCAGAGGGAACTGTTAGTTTGGAGAATTAGGCAATCATCAATTTAATAACAAAAAATGCTGAATTCTGCATCTCGGATGGAGTAACGTGAGATAGAAGTTGGGAGAGGTGAGGCTTGCAAGCAGCCCTCCAGAGGGACCTGTGGGTGCTGGGCCGAAAACAGGCTCAATCAATGCGAGGCAGCAGTGTCCCCTGGCAGCCAAGAGGGCAAAACCACATCCTGGAGCGCATCAAACACAGCATAACCAGCCAGTCAAAAGAGGTGATCATTACACTATATTTAGCATTGGTATGGCTTCACTAAAGAGTTCTGGGCCCCATGGCTTAAGAAAGATGTGAAGGTCCTTGAATGTGTCCAGTGGAAGGCAAGAAAACCAGTGGAAGGGCTGAAAGGCATGTCCTGTGTGGAGCGGCTAAGGACTCCGTGTTTGGCTAGTATGAGGAAAAGGAGGCTGAGAGGCAACCTCATTGTTCCCTACAACTTCTTGAGGAGAAGTGGAGAAGAAGGTGCTGGTCTCATCTCTGTGGTACCCAGTGACAGGATGCATGGGAATGGTTCAAATCTGTGTCAGGGGAGATTCAGGCTTGACATTAGGAAGCATTTCTTCATTAAGAAGGTTGTCAGACACTTGAACAGGCTTTCTAAAGAGACAGTCAGTGCTCCATGCCTGTCCATGTCTAAGAAGCATTTGGACAATGCCCTTAATATTTTGCTTTAACTTTTGGTCAGCCCTTAAGTAGTTAAGCAGCTGGACTAGTTGATCATGGTAGGTTCCTTCCAACTAGAACTATTCTATTCTATTCTAAATCAAACCAATGAAATGACTCTCCTTTGGAAACAAAGAAATAGCATATTAAGTGAAATGTATGATGCTGCTTCCTAGCACCCACACATGTGAAGATCACTGATTGGTAGCATCATAACTAGCGATGTTGTGAGTGCTTGAGAAATAAGAAGGGAAGATCTGTGCTTTCATGCATCCAGAAGAACATGCAAGGCACAGGGAGGTGCCAATGGAAGCAATCTACCCACAGCAATCACACCTTTGCAGAATTTCATAGACAGGAATGGTGACACCAGACTATATTTCTATACTGTTACCTTGGGATCACTGACTTCTGCATGAACAGTTGCCTTAGCTCTACTCCTTATACAGGTATGTCCTTGCATGACAAAAAACATCTGTTCCAAAATCATGACAAGAAGAATTGTGTAATGCACTCCCTGGAGTCCTAAGTTTGCTTCTTTTCCCATTTGTACCTATCAGTTGTGCCACATTTCTCCTTTTGAAGTTACCCCAGATAAGCAGAAACAATAATACATCTGAAAGAGATGTAGTGAAAGATGCACTGCATTTCCACAAGGCTACTAATAGGTCTGCTGATCACGCCCCCAGGCTACTATGCCTCAGGTCCAGGCAGCAAGATGTTTCGTGAGTGCACTTGGAGCATGTAATGATCTGAACAGTTGGAAGTCTCCAAATACAGAAAAGCAGTGAAAGGACTTAGAACTTCATAAGCAACTGAGCTCAGGCCTAAGTCTCATATGCCTTTACAGTGTTTCATAACACAGAGTTTAACTTCACATTTTACAAGTTAGTGAGGTATAGGATTAAAACAGGAAGGACAGGAAAAGAAGACAAGAAAGGAGAGTTGTTCTTTGTGTGAGAGAGCAGCTGGAATGCACGGAGCTCTGTGAGGAGATAGAAGAGGAGCTGATGGAAAACTTATAGATAACAGGAAGGGATTCTATAGGCACACTGCAAATAAAAGATAACGTAGGCCCTCTCCGGAAGCTATCAGGAGAACTGGCTACCCTGAATTTGGAGAAGGCTGAGGTTCTGAATGACTTCTTTGCCTTGGTCTTCACTGGCAAAGGCTCTGACCACACCACCCAAGTCTTGGAAGGCAGATGCAGGGACTGTGAGAATGAAGACCTTGCGCCCACTGTAGGAGAGGATCTGGTTCAAGACCATCATGGCAGTCAGGTGAAGTTCCCGACGACTGGAAAAAGGGAAATATAGCCCCCATTTTCAAGAAGAGGAAAATGGATGACCCAGGGAATTACAGACCAGTCAGTCTCACCTCTGTGCCTGGCAAAATCTTGGAGCAGATTCTCCTGGATGGCATGCTAAGGCACATGGAAAACAACAAGGTGCTTGGTGACAGCCAGCATGGCTTCACTAAGGGGAATCCTGCCTGACCAATTTGGTGGCCTTCTGTGATGGGGCTACAGAACTGATGGACAGGGGTAGAGCAGTTGATGTCATCTACCTGGACTTGTGTAAAGTGTTCGACACTGCCCCACACGACATCCCTGTCTCTAAATTGGAGAGACATCAATTTGATGGATGGACCCCTCGGTGGATAAAGAACTGGCTGGATGGCCGCATGCAAAGAGTTGCGGTCAACGGCTCAATGTCCGGCTGGAGACCAGTAACGAGTGGTGTCCCCCAGGGATTGGTGTTGGGACTGGTCTTGTTCAACATCTTTGTCGCTGACACGGACAGTGGGATTGAGTGCGCCCTCAGCAAGTTTGCCGATGACACCAAGCTGTGTGGTTCGGTTGACACACTGGAGGGAAGGAATGCCATCCAGAGGGACCTTGACATGCTTGTGAGGTGGGCTGATGCCAACCTCATGAAGTTTAACCATGCCAAGTGCAAGTTCCTACACCTGGGTGGGAGCAATCCCAGGCACAGCTACAGGTTGGGCAGAGAAGAGATTCAGAGCAGCCCTGCAGAGAAGGACTTGGGGGTGCTGGTCGATGAGAAAATGAACATGAGCCGGCAGTGTGCGCTCACAGCCCAGAAAGCCAACCGTATCCTGGGCTGCATCAAAAGGAGCGTGACCAGCAGGTCGAAGGAGGTGATCCTGCCCCTCTACTCTGCTCTTGTGAGACCTCACCTGGAGTATTGTGTGCAGTTCTGGCGTCCTCAACATAAAAAGGACACAGAACTGTTGGAACAAGTCCAGAGGAGGGCCACGAGGATGATCAGGGGCTGGAGCACCTCCTGTATGAAGACCCGCTGAGAAAGTTGGGGCTGTTCAGCCTGGAGAAGAGAAGGCTGCGTGGAGACCTCATAGCAGCCTTCCAGTATCTGAAGGGGGCTGTAGGTGTGCATACTGGAGAGGGACTCTTCATCAGAGACTGTAGTGACAGGACAAGGGGTAATGGGTTAAAACTTAAACAGGGGAAGTTTAGGTTGGATATAAGAAGGAAATTCTTTCCTGTTAGGGTGGTGAGGCACTGGAAGAGGTTGCCCAGGGAGGTTGTGAATGCTCCATCCGTGGCAGTGTTCAAGACCAGGCTGGACAAGGCCTTGGGTGATATGGTTTAGCATAAGGTGTCCCTGCCCACGGCAGGGGCGTTGGAACTACATGATCTTAAGGTCCTTTCCAACCCTAACGATTCTATGATTCTATAAAACCTTTTTCATGGATGATTCTTCTAGACAGCAAAGCTAGTCTATAAACTATTTAAGCTAGAAGTAATGCATGGTATGAAAGGTGTCAAAACTGCTATTCCAAATAGATCACTTGACTTACAATATACAAATCATCTTGCATGCTGAATAACACAAGTCTGAGTGTAAATTATGTCACATTTTTCTTATCCAAATCAGAAACACTACCATTTAAGTAATTTATTATCAGTCCATTAGCTTGCCTTTAATTAACACGGGTATGCTCATCATTTTACAACTGATTATTTTACATTGATTATGCAGTCAGTGAAAGATTATTCAGACTCGGCATTTACAGGTCTGACAAACAGAAACCAGAAAAATATTGGAGACAGACTCTGAAAAGAAAGGAACAGATTAACAGCAATAATCAATAGACCACTACCCAATTTAATGATAAGGTGAAATACAGTCAATATTTCTGAATTCCAGAAATAAATACACCTATAAAGTTCACATGCTTTTGCCCAAGATCCTTTCTTTTCCCCACCAAAAAAAAAAAAAACCAAAACCAACATAACAAACCCAACAAACCCCTCCTTTTTAGTAAGGTTGCATGTTATAAAACTAAATGACTAACAGACACAATGATAACAACAAATATAGGGAGGATCCCAGCCTGGGAAGAAGCCAGAATGACTAGATATAATGTACTTGCTTCATCTTCTCAACTATTAACCATTTAACATTGCTAAGGCTTTTAATTTCAAATTCCCACACCAGGAATACAAACAGAAATCGTTTCGGTAATTTAAACTTTTACAGTCCTACAGCGTGTTTAAACAACTAAGTCTCAGTACCTCCATAACATGGGTACCACTGCACCTTCCCATAAAAAAATCAGAACAGAGTGTTCAGTCCAGACAAAATGTCACAGCAAGTCAACAGCACTCCCTGAAACAGGGTTCTTGCAACTCACTTCTCAGTTCTCTGTCCTAACCAGTAAAGAATGAATACAATGCAATTTATTTGAACATTTATTTCCAAAGGCACTGTCCTGAGTTACACAGGACAATTATGCTCATCTTGTAGGTTTTTAGGCAGTAAGCTTTATTAAAGCTCGATGGATATATTGGCAGGTTACAATTAACTCTTCCAACATGTAACTTGCTAAGTAATGACTATTTTTCAAAAATAGACAAAAGTAAAAAAAGAGATATAAAACCAGCTTTTATAATAAGTAACGATGAAGAGAGAAAATATAACACTGTACAGATTGCTGGGCAGTCTGCTCCCCCAAGAAGGTGCACAAAATCTGTTTTTTCAATTATATCACAATGCAATTTCACACAATGAAATTACCCTGATTAACTATCCTAATGTTAACTAACCTAATCTGTATGTTGCAAATCTGGTGCACTCAGTTAGCTGATCCTCCATTCTTCATGAAATTAAATACTAAACCTTAGTAATCCCTTTCTCATCCTCTGCAGTGCTTCAGGTCTCATGCTAGTTGAACAAAATCAAAAAAAAGGAGAGCAGAAACAGAAGAAATGGAGAGTAAAGGATGGACTTCTAAATATGCAGGTGGTGTCAACAATGGCAAAAGACACACCCGAGGAACAGATGGATCTTTTAAGCCCCTGTTCACTGGTGACAGATGAATGTACCCAAGAACATCAAAGAACAGCAATTTTCAAGCAGAGTAAACCAAAAACTTCCTGACAACTTTCTTACTTAGACTCCTTCCACTTTTTTTAAAAAATAATACAAATTACAAGTAAAAAGCAGGAATCCTTTCAGCTGATTCATTCCCCACAACTGATTCATTCCCCACAGCTGCCTCAAGTACAGCAGGAAGAAATGAAGCCATGTTCCATTCAAAACATCTGCATTCACGGACCATGTGTTCACACAATTATTATCTCACTTTCATGTGTTTTTTTGATCTCCATGCACAACTTGCCCTTTTTAAGTGTGTTTACTATTTGTCACTTCTTACTCTTAGTTCAGAAGTTTTGCTGAGGCAATGGTTTAGCTGATAATTAAACAGCAAGAAATCTCTGGGTCAACAGCATACACAGAAAGATGCACGTTCCTCTCAAAAAGATTACTAATTTTCCATAAGGAATTGACCTCCCCTTCCTCCCATACCTATCAAAAGTGTCAATAACTTATTTCTACATATGTTAACTCTATTAGAATTACCAATAAACTTTCTCCTTACTTTCTCTCTTTTGTACTAACACAGAAGTACAAAATGGGCATTACATCTCTGAAAAGAAAGCAATCATTATTGCTTTTATTTATCATCATTATTTTAGGTGAGATGGTTTAGTGTGAAGTGTCCCTGCCCATGGCAGGGGGGTTGGAACTTGATGATCTCAAGGTCCTTTCCAACCCTAACTATTCTATGATTCTATTATTGACTGGCACACTTTGGATCCTGCTCTGTGCTTCCGCACATAGAATAGAGCTGGGAAGCTAGAAGGCCTGGCAGAATGGCTCTCTGGGCAAGATCTTACCCATGGGCTGTATGCTAGACACTCCACAACTAGATAGGCAAAACAAAATTAAGGAAGACAAAGGTTTTTCCGTTTTGCAGAAATGGAAGCGAGACAAAAAGAGACTACAATGTGTCCCATAATGCAGCAGAATCAAGAATTCAGTAAGTATTTCCAAGCCCCACCAAAATTATTCTTGACCTCTTCCAACACAATTCAAACCTGAAATAAAATTCAGTACTACAGAAAGAGGCTGCACATCAAATGTGAAGATCATACTGAAATCTCACTTTATTTGGGGGACATGAGGCAACTCATTTTATGGCACACTTCCCAAACTTCACTGCTTCTAGAAATAGTGACATCCCATGGAAAGGACTGGGATATCAGATGATGTCCTAGAAGCAAAAGCAGATGGAATAGCAAAGCAATAAATGTATCTTCATGGATACGGTTCACACACTCAGAGGGAACAAACCGCATAGATACTGAAAATACATAATCAGCTGATGAAAAGCATTTTCTCTGAAAAAGATGCTTTCCAAAATTTTCATAGGAAACAGGTATCCTCAGCTGCTTAGGATCACTGAGTAGGCTCACTGCAGCAGTGTCTTTAACAAGCATGTAAAGCATACCATAAGAATGTCACAATTTACAGCATAAGAGCAATATTGCAACTGCTGATCTGGGATGCAATGCCTGCTTTCTACAACCTTCAATACTTCAAGCTCCATACCTAGAGAAATAAAGTAGCAATGAGACAGATTTAGCATTTTAAAATAATCCTAGTATTTCCAGCTTACAGTCCCACTTGGCTGGCAGAATGCCACCAGAGTATGCAATTTAATATAGTCATAGCTGTCACAAGACATATTAGACTGCTCTATCCATGGGCTGTCTTCTATATATAACTGATAAAAGCTTGCATAATTAAGGTTGCATTTAAGAGTCTCAGCTATGTAACTAACAGGTCTTTGCAGTAAGCTTTCATCATATATGGAACACAAGCTTTTCTCCAGAAATTCCTCAAATGCTTTGACGTACTTCCAATAATCTTCAATATTAACAAGGGATCTAATTTTAAAGCCTGGTGCAATTCCTTTCAACTTTTAAAATTAAACTGCAGATTTTTTTCTTCATATTGAACTGAAACATAATTTCATCTGAGTGTTAAACACAGAAAAGTCTGTATCTTATTACACACCAGTTTGTGAAACAACTGCAGATTACATTTCCCAAGACTCATCAAGAAGTCCCTCTCACTTCATACACAGCACAAAAAGAAGCTGTCAAAAGCAGCAATACTTGGAAAGCTGCCAGTAAGAAGCAGATTTTGTGCAGAGTTGTGGTACTGGTACTTCCAAAGGAAACCAAGCACATCTAAACCTGACACAAGACTTTCCCTTCCTTCCCAGGCAGTAAGCAAGATATCACATGAACAAAGTTTGAGATGACAAATATAGGAGGTATGACATTTTGAAACAGTACACAGGATGACTTATTAGTCATCTTTTGCTTATAATTCAGAGGGCTTTCTCCATCAAATGAACTCTAATTTTAGTGCATCAGTTATGCACTTGTATACTATTCCACAGAATAAACAGAAAGCTGTTTCAAAGCATGGAAGCTAAACAGAGTGAATTCATTCATAACTAAATTTAGAACAGTACAATTTGTTTCTTGCTTGGCACAGGACAATGAAAGTAATTTAGGTATTAAACACTCAGTACATCTTTTACAAATCAGTGGAATCTCAGCACTTTGCAGAAGAAATAGGCCATATATCTGGTGGTCAAGTAGTTCACCAAAGACATCTATTTTCTTTGAAACAGCTGTGTAAGGTCTGAGGTATGCCACAGCTTTACCACTACGTAAGATGCTTTTGAATTTCCTTTCAGCATTATTTGTTCCTCATATTTTTCTAAGAAGTTGGCAATAAGTAGTAAAATACCCTGAAAATAAGCAGTGGGTCTTCTAACAAATTTCTACAACTACTGGAACAGAATTCAGTTCACCAGTTCTGCTTTATGGCACGTTAGTTATGTACAGGCTTCACTTACTTTCAGAGGATTTCAGGACAATTTCTGGACTGGCTCTATTTCGCTCATTTTTAAATAGTGTTTGGAGTGGTCTATTAACCTCAGACAAGTGTAGGCCATTATAACCCTATACATATTTAAAGTAGTTCAGAAATCGAGTGAATTGGATTCTCCATTATGCAACTATATTTATTGTCCAAGAGCCAATAAAACAGAGAAAGTCTCACCTCCTTTCACTTCCTCCCCATGCCCCCCAGGATAAATATGCAGTTTGAGTCTACAGTAATAATCCCTACATGAAAGTTGTGACTGTTGTCCAAATCCTTTATTACAACATCCTATGGCATAAATCCCTAGAATCACAGAAAGAAAAATACTTGATCCTCAGAATAATACTAGAAATGCACACAACATGCTCTGTACCTTACAGCTCACCACCAACACTTAAGCATGCTGGGACTTTAAAAAAAATTATTACAATGAGACATATGTTGTGAGCACCTAGGTAACCTCATCTGTAGGTTGTATAATTTGCATTTATTTATCAATCTAGACACTTATATGGCTCCCTCACTGTATTCCTAAGGCGTCTCACAGGCAGTAATAAATTTCTCCAGGAAATACCCTTGCAAAATAAGCATGATTATCTCTAGTTGAGATGCAAAGAATTGATATACACAGGAACAGAGTGCCCTGCTAAAGGCCACATCGAAAATCTATGAAACAACCATAATCAGACCAGAAGTATCCCAGAATCGCAGGCTGGCTGTGACTCCTCCCATGCTCCCCTTCCTCCTGTGCTGTCTTGCTGAACAGAATGCCAAAACGAAGCAGTAACATGACCTTTTGCTTCTCAAGTCTGAGACAATATTATCACCTATGAGAGAAATAATCTTAAAAAAATTAAGAAAGATAAGATTTTCTGTATCATGCCACCCAAATACCTTAGTATGCATTTATCCCTAATATTGTTAACAAAATGCTTATAATTGTCCCACCAATCACTATTGCTGCATGTGGTAGCTGTGCCAGAGCTTAATAATAGTAGCTATTTTCATTATGCATAAATAATTCTGCAGTAGCTATACTGCGTTTATAGCATTTAGAAGCAAAGATGACATCAGTACCATTCAGGAGTTTTTGAGAGTCCTTGCTCTCAAGGATCAATTTTCACTAACTTTAAATCCAAGATGGGTGTATCTCAAACCTGGCTGCTTCCTGGAAAACTGATGGCAGTGATCTGAAGAAATGTTGAGAGGGATTCAAATCTAACAAATAAGTTGTATGCCCAAAATCATCCCTTTTGGGGGGAGGTATCAATATAATAAAAGAAATATGTTTGCCTATAAAGTATTGCTTACTAATAGCCTCTGTCTGACATTCACAGTACTATAAATACTAATCTTTGTCAGTTTGCATCCTAGACCACTAGAGAAAAAAACAATGCTCGTATTAGACATCCCCACCACAAACAGCTTGGTAACACTGGGAATGACACTAGTAAGCAAGAGTATTTACAGCTTGGTTTTGATGGGCATTCTGTTTCTCTGGGAATATAAAACAGAGACTTCATGGGTTTTTAGTGCTCCTAGAACTGAAAGTCTAGCAGGAATCTTACTGGTGTGACTTGACTATGAAAGCAAAGTAAACAGAAGCACAGATTCAGGCTCAGAGAAGAGTTTCCCTGAAGCAGTAGTTCTATGATCCATGGGGGTAATTTGCTTACTCTGTAACACTGTCCGCTCACAAGGATCACATGGTCATTTCTGACTATCAAGATCCATACTACTGTACAGAACTAAAAATCTAGCACTTTGCTGCAGCCTCTGATAGTTTTTTTAATATTTTTCATCTTTCGTACAAAAGTCATTTAGTTTGTGTCAATCTATCACAGTGTTTTACACATGTGGAGGGCAATCTGTGGATGGGTGTTCAACAAGCATTTCTGCACCATGCACATAGCACATGCTGCCTGCCTGA